GTGTGTGTGTGTGTGTGTGTGTGTGTGTGTGTGTGTGTTCACAGTGAGTGTGTGTGAGCTCAGGGTCGGTTCTGATCCGGTTCCTCTGGACTCGAGCTCCGGGTGTCACTCCGGACTCAAACAGCTTCACGGACAGCAGGTGACCGTCCACCTTCCGCCCAACATCACGGGACACTGGGTGTCCAACAGGTGAGGAGCTCCAAATAATGCTCATTAAATTCATCCTAATCAATGCACGGAGCTCTTTCCATTCTGGACTCAATTCTGTGCAGATCCTTTGATATCCGTCGCTCTGGAGCAGCATAAACTGCTTAAAACATAATTGAAATGTTCTTGAATTTGTGATATTTCACTTAAATTGTATTTATGCATTTAGTAGATGCTTTTATTCAAAGTGACTTACAATAAAGGCCCATCAGAGACAGTATTCGAAGCTTTCTAACAGATGTGGCATTGAATAATGTGAATATTAATGTAAAACGGCTGAGTTTTAACTAATAGATATCAGCATGCTTTCCCACACTGTACATTAAAACAATAGTTTTGCATCACAAGTTTCTGAAATGTTATGTTTGAATATGCAAATGAGGGATTCGCTAATTAAATATGCATTGATTTGCATACATAAATCTGAACATTTGTTCAGAATTCTAGTTTGATTTTGTCCTCATATTAGAGTTAAAGGTTTTTCCTGAGGGGATTTTTATCATGATTCAGAAAATACTGTCAACAGACTGCAAAGTGTGGTGTTTGTAAGAGAAAAAACTCTTTAAAGATTGAAATCTACAGACGCAGATAGATAAAGGGCAATAAAATGTGTGTTTTGGATGTCTCCCTCCACTTTGATATGTTTCTTCGTGCCCGCTTCCATGTTCAAAGCCTGTTCTCCTTTGAGCACCAGTGTTTTAAAGCCTTTACTCTCGTGATTCCAGCTGCGAGGTGCGACCCGGCCCGGAGTTCCTCACTCGCTCCTACCGCTTCTTCCCCGACGGCAGCTTCCAGGCGCTGCAGTTCTACTACCAGGACCCTGACTGCAGCGAGCCCAGCTACAGCCTGCTGATCCGGGGCGGCGTTCGGCCGCTGCAGGCCTCCTGGCTGGTGCGCGGAGGAGCCGTGTGCGAGTACCACCTGAGCCGCGTTCAGCTGCTGTGTCACGGCCCCGCGGCGGCACTCATCCAGCAGCGCCTGCGATCGGCCTGCGACCTGCGGCAGCCGCTGCGGCCCGGTCTGACGTACGAGCTGTGGGACGAGCGTCGTGACTGCACCCGCGGCTTAGACTTCAGCATGCAGGAGCTGCAGCTGATGCGGCTGGAGCGGAGCGGTCACCATGGCGACCCCAGCAGCCAGATAGAGGAGCTGTTCCTGGGAGACGTTCACACGGAGCGTGCTCAGAGGAGACTCCACCAGCCCGCGGGCTACCAGACCCCCCTACAGAGCGCCAAGGTCAGCAGGCGGACGTCTGCGCCGCTGCACATGCATGCGCTCGATTAGCACAGCGCATTAATATTGAGCGAGAGCGACGAGAGAGTCGCACACTGTCACCTGGAGTAAGAAAGAAGCGCTTAAAGACTCTCTACTTCAGCAGATTTTCACATGAATTTAAAGTCAACATCAAATGTTTTATTTTCCTGATGCGTGTAAATAGCTTGCTTAGTTTGATCAGTGGCCCTTCATCCCGTTTCACGCAGGAATACGTCACAAAATGACTTTAAATGATTTAAAGACAAAACAAGCATTAATATATGCTAAAACAAGTAAAAATCAAAATGCGTCTTATTTTAATACATTTTTTGGTCTTTGAACAAAGTAACAAAGATTCACATTCATTAACGTCTGCGCCGCTGCACATGCATGCGCTCGATTAGCACAGCGCATTAATATTGAGCGAGAGCGACGAGAGAGTCGCACACTGTCACCTGGAGTAAGAAAGAAGCGCTTAAAGACTCTCTACTTCAGCAGATTTTCACATGAATTTAAAGTCAACATCAAATGTTTTATTTTCCTGATGCGTGTAAATAGCTTGCTTAGTTTGATCAGTGGCCCTTCATCCCGTTTCACGCAGGAATACGTCACAAAATGACTTTAAATGATTTAAAGACAAAACAAGCATTAATATATGCTAAAACAAGTAAAAATCAAGATACGTCTTATTTTAATTCACTCTTCTTTCAAGAAATGGTTTAAAATAAGATGTAATAAGCATTAAATACACTAAAACAAGTAAAAATCAAAATGCATCTTATTTTAATACAATTTTTGGTCTTTGAACAAAGTAACAAAGATTCACATTCATTCATTTCGTCATGGACATTAATACAATCTTAATACTTCATGTGCATTTTTATACAAATATACACTTTTCTAGTCGTGCAAAACTCTAAAATATTTTACTGGATAGAAATGGTCAGTAAAACAGCAACTTTAACTGTGATTATGTGCCGGAGATCAGATGCTCCGACCACAGATGTGAGATTACTGAAGATTATTACTGATTTCGGGAAATCAACACACTTGAATGAAGTTGTTTCTCTTGATCTTCAAAAGCTTTGAAACTAAAGCAGGGGTCCGGAGGGCCTCAAGATGACTTGTAAAATGATTTGTAGATTCAGGAGCATTCAGTTCCTAAAACCTCTGGAATCCCGAAACCTGTTTTCATTTCAGATATAATTATTTTAGCGGCTTATTTTAATATCCTAGTTTGAAACCCAAACCAGGGTCCTTTAGATGTTGCTAGAAAGTTTGATTTAAAGCTTCTGCTGGAATTATAATTTGCACCTGTAGATGATTTTCAATTATGAGTTGTAATTTGACATGACAGACGGTCTGGATTCACAAACGCGTTAAACTTCAGCCTTAAAATAAAACCCGGCGAAGCTGAAAAATACATGAAGCTTTCGACAGAAGAATGATTAATTCATGAAGTGCCATGTTCGCTGAAGTACAAGTCTGTATAATACATAACATTGTACTTAATTTGGGAAGTGGCATCGCCTGTGATTAATTCATGCGAGCCGCCGGCTGTCACGCATTCATCCGGAGCCTCCGCCGCTATCACCGACCCGTTCGCCAGCTCTCTCTGAGCCCGGTGTCGCTGAAGAGTGTGATTGGAGCCGTGTCGGCCGCTCGTCTCCCGTCTGCTTCAAAGGGAATGTGGAAATAGTGTTTGCGAAGGCCAGCGCTCTGGATTGCGGCTCTATCCGAGCGCCGAAGCTGAGAGATGAGCTTTTTCTGATGGATTAATTTCTTTTATGTGTGCACCCCCCCACCACCGGCGCTCGCCGCAGCTAAAAGAGCCCGGGAAGCATGTAATGCAATGTTAATGCATTCTAGTTCAGCCTGAATTATTGATGGCCGGCCGACTCCAGTAAGAGACGTGTAGAGGAGCGTCCCGCTGTCGGATTGATTGAGATTAAATCAAAGCCGCTCTATAATCGAGTGACGCTCAGAATTACGATTCAGAACTGTCCTTGCGTCTGTCAGCTTCTAACTTCTCTTTCTGTGCTGCCTTTTTGCATTGATCTGTGCATGCATTTTTATGTCTTGCAAACTAGTGTCACTTTAAAATCATTGATAAACAATTATAGTTAATATTTTAAAATCGATTTTGTTTTCAGTTTAGCTAAAGTTTCAGTAATTTTGTTTGGGTTTGTTTTAGTACTTTAAGCTAAACGAATGAAAAATGTTGCCTTGGCAACTAGCTGATTGTTTTTTTAAATTCTATTTTATTTCAGTTAACATTTATTTTAAGATGGTGTTAGCTTTAGTATAGTTAACTATAACAATCCTGGTTTAGCTTTCTATTATTTTCTACTGGTTTGTCACCAACATAATCTTATCATAGATTTAGTTTTTGACACTTTTTTTTACTGATGCTTCCAAAGTTTATTACAAGAAAAATGCTTTATACACTGCAAAAATGAACTATTATTATTTCCTGGATTTAATTTGTTGAGAGAACTCAAATATCTAAATTGGCACGTATAACAAACAACTTCTTATTTCAAGTCGACTAAACTTAAAACGTTAAGGCAGCATGAACACTTTAAGTTAAAATTAAAATAGTGTAGATTTGGATGCATCAGTAAAATGTGTTGCCTAGAAACCAATCAGTGCATTACATCACACTGGTTTCCTGCAAAGAATGAGTAAAGTTACATTATTGCATAATTAAAAAAAAAAAAAAAGAGTGAAGAAAAAGTAATTGTGTAAAGCAGTAGACCATGGCGCTGGCAACACCAAGGTCATGGGTTCGATTCCCAGCGAATGCATGGACTGATAACATGCATAGCTTAGTTGCAATGTAAGTCTCTCTGAATAAAAGTGTCTACCAAATGCATGAATGTAAAAATATAAATATTTACAGCAAATACACACAAAAAAAATGCATTGCAAAATGAAATGGATCATGTAAAAACAGCATAATTGTTAAGTGGTGTTAGGTTAAGTAACTTATGTTTGAGATGTTCAGATTGGGTTTGCTGGTCAGTCCTCTGTATTTCTGCAGCTTCACCTGCTGCTCTGCTGGTTAGCTCTTGCTTGTGATGGAAGGGTTTTATTTCCGTTCGGTCTCATTGGGTCGGTGCATTGCATGCTAAATCAGATTCAGATGTGCTGAATGATCTGAGCAGTCGGGTTCTCTCCGGAGGCTCCGGGCGTGTGAAGCAGAAGCAGGTTCTCTGTGCTGAAGCTCGTCGATAACCTCTGAATGATTAACCAGTTTAATATGCCAGGTCAAGTTTATTTATATAGCGCTTGCTTCTCAGCAGCAGTAAGCAGACAAACAGTGTCATTTTCATTTAAAATTGCGATATGAAGTCAAAACTGTGAGGAAAAAGTCAAAATTGTGAGAAATAAGTCAAAATTGTGAG